AGGGGCGGCCGGGGCGAGGGTCCCTGAGGGGGGCTGGGTGTTGGGGCGCAACCTAAAGGGAACCTCGGCCTCGAGCGGGTCTCGGGCCCCTCGCACCGCTGCTTTTCCTCTCCACTTGCTTAATGGGATGTCTACTTCTCAGAAAAACTGAAATATCAAAACCCAGTCCCGAGATTCGGCCTTTAACGGGAGCGCCTTCCGGACGCAGGTCTCGCGGCGCCGGGGCACTCGGACGGGCCTGGAGCCGGCGCCCGCGAGCGGTGGGAGTGGGCTTCGGAGTCGGCTGCGCGAGCGGAGTCGGGACGCCGGCTCCCCGTCCCCTCGGGTCCCGGCCCCGGCGCTCACAGTTCCGGCCGGAACGCCGGGCCGGAGCACCGGATGCGGACCACGGGGTCTGAGCTCCGCCCCTCCCCCGCGTGGACGAGCTGTGCGGCTGGGAGCAGGTTACTTAACCGCTCTGGGCTAGATCTCCGTAGGGTTATTTTGACACTTAAGGAATTAATACATGTCTAAAGAGAGGAAACGGGATATAAATATTTGCTGTATTACTGCAGAGAGAATAGATGGGGGGGGCGGGGGGAGTTTAGTCTGTTTAAAAATTGCCCACAATCGAATTGAGACTAAGCTCTGAAGGAGTCTGTGGTTCTTTCCGTTAACTCATTATTTTAACAAATGTGGTCAACCTTTTTGGGAGCCCTGTGGGTTTCGGGATGACTGCTTTGGGACTCTTGCTAGCAGGTGTGGCACGGGGATGTCACCGATGTAGATTTATAGCAGCATCCTTAACTCCTGTGGAGGAATCCTGGCAAGTCACAGGTGGCAAAACCATCTGCTCACATAGGCTCTAGACACGCGGTGTTCCAGGTTCCCACTGGTGCTGATTATCACAGAGTGGAACAGCCGTGTGATTTTTTGAAACAGAACATTGTTAGCCAGCATTGACCTATTTTTTTTCATCTTAAGTGGGCCCACAGTTTTTTGTTTTTGTTGAGGGTTTTTGTGGGGTAGTTACTGGGAATATTTTTGCCGTTGGAACTTATACATCTTTTAATCTGTTTTCCTGAGTATTATGCTTGATTTCCTTCTAACCCTACGAGGTCATACTGCCTTTTAAGAAGTTTGGGTCTCGAAGCTTTATCATCAAGGCATTTCCATTGGATAGCCACTTAGAAGAGGGGAGGCTCTTGTGAGAACCAGGCAAAATTTAAAGAAAAACAAAAGTCCAACAGCACTACTAGAAAAAAAAAAAAGTCTAAGTCCATGTTATATTGAGGGTCAGTAGACATGGCCATCTTTGTATGGAAAGAGAGCATACTCCTGAGGTAAAAATCATGGACCATCCCTTTGGTGACTGCTGTTCTGATTGGCAAGAAAAATGAAAGACCCTAATTCTCCTGCCATGATCTACCTAAATGACCCTCCTTGGGATTATACTTCTGCAGTCTCCAGACCTTTGGTTAAAAATTTGGGTTACATAACTGTGTTATATTTGTAATTATATGGCCTTAGGTAAATGTCTCCGTTTTTTGGCCTAAAAAATGAACATCATAGTACATACCACATAGAGTTCTTAAATGAGTTAATATATTTTAAATGTTTAGAACAATGCCTGGCACATGGCCTCATAGAAGTGTTATTCTTAGGTAAGATGTCAATTTCTGGAGGGTAAGTAGTTGGACAGGTAAATATATCAAAATGTTAGCCATACCCTCAGTACCCCCGGAAGATTTAAACTGACCGTATCCATTGGAGGGGGGAGTCGTAAGCATTCTTAACATTGGCCTGTTAATAGTGAAATATGGGAAATAATCAAGTTTTGTCAGTAGTGAGTTGGCAACATGGTACAGCCATTAAAATTGGTTACATGGGGTAATAAGTAATCCTTAATTACTTATATAGAAAATGTAACTTATTTTGAGTGGCAAATGGTTACAGAAAGGAATATATATATCCCATTTATATGAATATACAATAATAAAGTTTGATACCTCTGTTGCATACAGATGTCAGTAAGAGTATTCACCAAAATATGAATGGCTTGTTCTAGTGGAGACTGTTGATGGCTTTTCTTTTGCTTTTCCATTTTTTAAAATTTCACAATGAACTCAATGTATTGAACAAGTATCAATGCATGTCGACCCTTACCAAAAAAAACTTCTTTAAATGTAGTAGGTCTCGGAGGATTCTTTAGGACCAATATTACTTCCAAGCTTATTTAGAATTAAGACTGCCTGTGCTTAGGTTCCTAATTTACTTGCTTCACTAACTGGATCAAGCTCTATTTAACTTTTCCTGCAGGAATGAAAAGAGTATTGAGCAGCACCATACAATAGAAATGTAATGCAGACTTATGTAATTAAAAATTTTCTAGTAGCCACATTTAAAAAGGCAAAAGAATGAGTGAAATTCATTTTAATATATTTATTTACCCAGTATATCTAAAAGACCATTTCAATATGTAATCAATATAAAAAATATTAATGAGATAGTTTAATTTTTCTTTCCTACCAAGTGTTTTGAAATGCAGGGTGCCTTTTACACCTACAGCACATCTCATTGTGGGGTAGCCACGTACGGCTCATGGCTACCATGTTGGACAGCACAGTTATCGCGGGAGCCACTGTGGGTGGCCTGACCGTCATCCACACTTACCCTTTCCTGTCTCCTGAAATGGAACAGGAGCCCATCCTATCACAGGCTATGTGTTCCCTCCCCTCCTCCTGACTCAGGGCATTTTGTTTAATGATTCCCTGTACTTTAGCCTTTCCCACGCTACATATTTCTTCCTTTCACACTCAGTTTAAAAAGAAACCATCCTTCTACTTCACATTTGCTTGTGCTCTCCTCCTCTTTATAATGAAACTTGTTTAAAAAGTTATTTGTATTGTTTTCACCAGCTTGTTCTCTCCTCCGATCTTCTGTAGATGCCTGCTGTGTATTTTCACTACACCACAGCTCCCAGGGCCCCCAGTTATTTCTTTGTCCTTTGATCCAGTGCAGTTTTCAGTCTTTCCTACTTGAGCTCCCAGTAGCATTTGTTACTGTTGCCCATTCAGCCATCCACTGCCCACACAGCAGCCAGGTACTTTTTCTAGAAAGAAATCTTATGACACCCCTCCTTCCGCATGATAAGCCTTTAGTGGCTTCACATCACCATTAGTAAAGTCCAGTTTTATTTCGTAAGCTCCTACATTTGCAATCTCTGTCATTCAAATGCAGTATTCTTGAGCAGTGCAATTGTTTATTCATGCCCCTGGCGCACACAACCTTTTTATCTTGAGCACTAAAAAGGCAACATGGTTTAATGGGAAAAGCATGGAACTAGAAGTCAGAGAGCTCCTCTGCCATTTACATGCATGGCTGTAGATGGGCCCTGATCTCACGTTCTGCCTTTTACAAAATAAAGATGATTCTTGCTCTCTAGTTGGTAATGCTGTGAAAAACCAGGTGTGCTGGTATATTTTAAAGTGGTTTGAAAATGGAAAGTGCTATGTAAGTATCAGGTAGAATAGTTAGCAATAGAACGATTAACATTGGTGTGCACTCCTTCCAGAAGAAATTTACCATTGCATTATTCAAAAAAGTTCCATTTGAAATCTCCCAAATTCTGTTTATAACGAAGCATGTGAAAATCTGCCTACAGTGGCATATACACACACTGCCTTGGGAGACAGGTCACTCTCACTTTTAATATGTTTTAAAGGAAGAGATGAAATTTTGATAGTATTACCAATTCAAAAGACTTTTGAGTTCTTAAAATATTTGTAAGTCAGTTCAGAACTTGTTTTTTGTTTTTTTAAAATGTTGTAAACTGCATTTAAGTTCTTAGAGTGGCTAACAAAAATACACTTGGTCCACAGTGTAGCTTAACTATGCCATTATAATGCAATAGATTATTTGCTTTATAACATCAGTTACATGAAAATTCTTTGTGAGCTCATCCTGCAACATTGTGAGTGCCTGGTGATGTGCCATTGATAGTGTTATTAGAAATAAAAGTATTTATTAAAACAGTCATGGCCCTTGAGAGAGTCCCAGTCTAGTAGGGGAAACGAATTTTTTTCTTAAAAAAATGGCTTTAATAAAGGTGGTGTGCTAATACTGCAACTGAATAGCACAAGAAATAAATACTGTACGGATTACCCAAGGTCACAGATAGATGTAACCTCCCAGTCTTTCAGTGTCCTTGCCATAAAATGGCAACAGTAGTGCTACCTCATAGGGTGGTTATAGAGAATGAAGGCACTAAGAAGAATAATATTTAAATACTGCAGTCCAGGAGATGAGTGTGGACTGTGTTCCCTTCTTGCTTGGCACTACATCAGTGGGAATAAAATTCCAGGAGCTCCAACAGCAGTAGGGAGGGCAGGGGCATGAGGTTAGGAGGGGCCTTGCCCAGCCATCCTCCAGTATGGAGGGCCTTCGTCAGCTGAAGAAGACTCTGGTCACCTGGGTTTCCTTTCAGCACAAACCTGCTGTTAATGGTCTGCTTTTGGTTGTTCCTCCAGGTTTGGTGAGCTGTACCTTCTTTCTAACAGTGAATGGGTTGTATTCCTCTAGTGATGATGTCATCGAGTTAACTCCATCAAATTTCAACCAAGAAGTTATTCAGAGTAATAGCTTGTGGCTTGTAGAATTCTTTGCTCCATGGTAAGTATTATTAAATAGTTGTCAGTCATTTATGGTACTTTAAAAAGAAAAATACCATATAAAGATGTGATTTTATTTGACCATCTAGTTTACCTACTTTAGAGCTTGTTTACTTTTATTATTTTTAAAACATAGATATATTTTTATTGATTTCAGAGAGAGGGAGGGGGAGAGAGAAATATCAATGATGAGAGTCATTGATCCGCTGCCTCCTGCATGCCCCCTACTGGGGATTGAACCTCCCCAGTGCCCTGACTGGGAATCGAACCTCCATCTCCTGGATCCTAGGTCAATGCTCAACTGCTGCGCCATGCTGGCTGGGCTAGTCCTTATTTAAAAGAAGTAGAGGGAAGTGGGAGAGTCCACATGGTCTTGTTTATTAAAGGTCATGGAGATTGAGTCAAGTGGGGGGAAAAATGAAGTAGCTAATTGTTGCAAGAAAGAAGAAAGGGGGAAAAAAAACCTTATAATTTTAAGATGGTTTATCCTTATGATGAGGTAAGTAGGATGGGGACTGATGGGAAACTGATTTATGAAGAAAGAATATTGGCCAAAGGAAAGGGAAGAGCCAGTATTGACTCCGTTCTGTTTCCTGAAGAGAGTTGCTTCCAGAAATATGTAATTAGAAAACCTGGTTTAATTTAACAGTTATCCTCTTGCCTTACATTCATTGTTGGAAAAAACCCTTGTGGGGTGAAGATGTAATTACTGTTGAAATTGGATGTGCAATTATATATAGTCAGAATATAGGATGTAGTTTCCTCAAACTCTGTGTTTTTATCCCCTAAAAGGTGTGGCCACTGCCAAAGGTTAACACCAGAATGGAAGAAAGTAGCAACTGCATTAAAAGTAAGTTTTTGAGATGTCTACATTCACTTGTGTATGTTTCAGTTTATGCAAATGACTTAATGTATAATAGGAAGTGAATCTGCATATTGAAGCTCAAAACCCTTGTTTTGATGCCAAGATTATATAGGGAGCAAAGGTATAATGTACATTTGAGCTTTTATGTTTATTTATGTCACTTCTGTTTCCTGGGCTAATTTGTGTTTCACTCATCGTTCCACCTAGGAATGGCTTCCCAGGCTACAGCCCTCATTCGTTCTGTTTTAAAGCCCTTTGTTATTTTGTTATCTTGACATGAATCAGATGGTGGGTTCTTATGGAACCTTCTCCAGTTGAAAGTAGATAATTCTCTCAAATTTCCACAGGATGTTGTAAAAGTGGGTGCAGTTGACGCAGATAAACATCAGTCCCTTGGAGGACAGTATGGGGTGCAGGGATTCCCTACCATCAAGATTTTTGGATCTAACAAAAACAGGCCAGAAGATTATCAGGGTAAGGACTTTGCTAACTACTTCCCCTGGTTGGAATTTTCATTTGAGCAGGTGGGAAAAAATAGGAGAAAATTAGGATTCTATAACTTTGAGCCCTGCTGCCTACAAGTTTCTCAGCCTCTCTGCCTAAACCTCGTAGCTCTATGATGGCACAGGGTGATGCCTACCTCTTCTGAGTTCTGGAGATTAAATATGCGTCGTACAGATAAAAGGTTTTTGTATTATCATGCATACTAGCTTAGCCCACACGGCCTTTGCAATGATAGAGTAATGATGTTCTATGCTTCCTCCTTGTTTTTCTCTTTATAATTAGAAAAATACTACTAAATATTTTATAGTTAATACTGAATGAAGATTTACATGTTCCTTGCTGTGAGCTCTCTTCGCTCTATGTAGGAGAAGGGTCTAGCATAGCAGTGTGGCAGGAAGAATGCCCTGTAATTTGAAAGTCAGTTAGTTACCCTGGGTATTCTTTTGTAGAACAGTCATATTATTTCATTTAAAATACCACAAACGTGCCCGGCGGTTGAGCGTCGACCTAGGATCCAGGTGATCGGGGTTTGATTCCTGGTCAGGGCTACATGCCCGGGTTGTGGGCTCAATCAATGACCCTCTCATCATTGATGTTTCTATCTCTCTCTCCCTCTCCTTTTCTCTCTCTGAAATCAATAAAGATATATTTAAAAAAAAAAAGAAAGAAAGAAAAATTAAAATACCACAAACAGATCATCAAGTTTAAGATATAATCAGAATTGCTAGGTTGGACCATGTTCATGGTCCTAAAAAAAGTATTGGGCATAACGTATTTAAAGTTTAAATTATAGCTCATTTGATAAATTTTTTAAAAGATTTCATTACATGGGCCACATAAGCGACAACTTAGAGTTAAACATCTTCGGTTTTGCTTTGTGTGAGAAAAACAAGTTTGAGGGTTGGGGGAGGAGAATCAGCATCACAGTAACACAGTGTTATTGTATCATCTCTGCTTGGTGGCCTGCATTGTGTCCAATTGATAGAGCATTCTCAGGAAAGGGAACTTGAAGGGAGTGTGGGGTCTGGAGAGTGAGAACTTGGATAATAGCCGGCCTGGCTCTACTACTGGCCTCATCATACTCTGGCTTCATAACTAAACAGAATACTTAACTCTCTGGGTGTGTGAAAACCTATTTTACCCCTGAAATAGTACATGTAAAGCATGTGACTTTGTAAAGACAGTGTAGTTGGTACGTCACTGAGCTGGGGGTCAGAATCCTGGAGATAAGGCCGTACACACATCCTTTCTTCTAGACTCCCAGCTCTGAGGTTTCGTAAAATGGTCAGTTTCATTTTTCTAACTAAACACCTGCTTTTCTGCCTTAGAATAATTTGTTTCACTAACTTGCAAAAACCGAATTTTAGAGTAGGGGTTGCATTTGACTTGCTGCCTGTTTTCATAAATAAAATAAGACTTCACCAACCCTTGGTGTGGGGCAGGAGTGGGGAACATCCAGCCCTCAGGCGATATATATGGCCATCGAAATCATTTGGTCCAGCTCTGCCAAGGCAACTGCCGGTGGGACTCAAAATTGAATAAATCTAGGAGCTTGTTTCATAGCTAATTTTTAAGTTGATAATTTTGTGTGGCCCACGAATGGTGTTACAAATATCTAAATGGCCCTTGTAGAAAAAAGGTTCCCCACCCCTCGTCTAGAGTAAGAAAGTCCTCTCTGCCTCTTTTGCTTGTATGTTCCTTGACTTGGTATGTTTCCAGGTAAAGATCGGTGGCAGGGGCACTGCCCGAGGATGGAGCAGAAGCCTGTTTTCATGTTGCTTCTGCCCTCTGTCTAGGAGGTGGTGCTGGGCTCCTCAGCCATGGTTGTAGCACCAGCCGACCGGGACTTACTCTGGGTGGTGCTGGACTGTGTTTTCTTATGTCAGGTCTGAGGTGTTCTCAGTTTTTATCTCTAGCAATTTGGTCAGAAAACTCTAGGAAAAAAGCAAGCTGAAATTTTCTGAAGCGATTTTGTGAGTGTGGCGTTAGAGTGAAGATCACTTACGGCCTCTGTTGTTATCCTTACAGCTGAATCAGTCAATAGCCTCCTGACTTTCTTGAGCATGTAGATTTTGGCAGACTTCCAAAGGCTGTTGTCATTATTGTTGGCTGCAGAGCCTGAGCACCGATAGGCACACAGCCTGTCTGCCACTGTTCAGCTGATGGCCCTTGTCTTCTTGCAGGTGGCAGGACTGCTGATGCCATCGTGGATTCCGCCCTCAGTGCCCTGCGCCAGCTCGTCAAGGATCGCCTTGGGGGCAGGGGATATAGTTCTGGAAAACAAGTAAGGCTTTGTAGGCCAGTTTTTAGTGTGTGATGATTTTGAAGCCTGAATGTGGACCCCTTGTAGGAGATAGATTTTTTTTTTTTTTTTTAACATTGCAAATTGGTGACCTTTCAATTAAAAAATAATAGAAGGTTGGGTCAACTGACCCCAGAGGGAGTCAACCTGCTCATTTGGCTTCCTCAGAATTACCATCACTATAGCTGGTCAGTCCCAGGGCATCCTGCCAAACCTCAGGCCAAGAGCCAGGCCCCAGAGAGGCTTCCTCAGCCCAGGGCTGAAATAGGAGAGTTTGAGCTGCAGAAGGAGAGAGCACCAGGCTGCTTTTTCACATGGTTACAGAGTGGAAAGAGAGGCCAGCTCTCCAGATCGACTCTGGGTGAACAGGGGAAATTTGGATGACCTCTTGGCCTAAGTCTGTGGCAATGAGCCCCAAATCCATGGACAATTCTACATAAATGCATAAGGAAGAAGAGAAAGATATTTCTGTTCTGAGGGTTGGTGTTTTAGATGTCCTGTATGAAATGTGACGTTTGACTGTGTTATCCTTGTGATCTTGGGAAAGGCATTGAATTCTTACTAATGCTTGTAGGTAAGGTGGCCCTTTGCTCTTTATACAGCCTTGGCTTCCCCAGATTTCAGACGTAGACGTTTAATGAGCATGATCGTCTCCCCTAGCTCCATGGCTTTGGGCCCAGGCGATAGAAAGTAAGATAGTCCTGTCACTTAGGGTCAGTACTGAAGAAAAGTATTTGAGAAAAAATGGGTGTTACTTTTAGCTTTCTTGATTGGTAGAGACTTTATGAAAGGGTATTAACTAGTGATGTGTAACATCCTGGGATAACCAGCAGCTGAGCTTGAGTCTGAATTAGAATAATGTTATTAAGGTGATTCTTTGAGCCATGCTGAACTTTCTCTTAAAAATAGCAAGTGACAGAATTTAGGTAAATGTTATGTGTTATACTGAATGTACTGGGGATTGTTTGAAAGTAAATGTTGATTACCTGGCAAAAATAATAATATTATATAATGTCTAATTTGAATAAAGTAGTTTTCACTTGAAAAGAAAACGAAAACTTCTTTAAAATGTGGAGGCGAGTTTTGTTATTGGTGTACTTAGAAAAGGAATCCTGTTCTTTTGGCCACTTTGTAGTTTAACGTTTAATGTCACAATGACAGGGTAGAAGCGAAAGTACAAGTAAGAAAGACGTGATTGAGCTGACAGACGACAGCTTTGATAAGAATGTTCTTGACAGTGAAGACGTTTGGATGGTTGAGTTTTATGCTCCTTGGTGTGGACACTGCAAAAAGTAAGTGCTTTTAACCAAGTCATAGGGCTTCTAATCAATTATCTAGTTTGCTGTGAGGCTTTCTGTTTGTTTTTGTTTTTAACCCTCTTCACCCATTTTGCCCACCCTGCCCCCTGCCTATGGCAACCACTAGTCTGTTCTCTGTATCTAGGAGCTTGATGGTGGTTGTTTTGTGTGGTTTTGTTTTGTTTTGTTTTTTATTTCACATATAAGTGAGTGTATATAGTTTCCTTTGAAAGAGCTGAATCAGATCACAGGTATAACCAGCATCTCCTCCCGAAAAGTTCTGACTTGAAACAAATTGTAAACGTTGGCATTAGTGCCAAGGGTTTCCCCTGTCATTTTCAAAGATTGACAGGGAGCTAGCATCCAAATTTGGGGGGAGTGACAAAGGACTGGGAAGCAAGTGTGAAAGGCGCATCGTATCTTTCATAACGCAACATGGAAAATGTTTCCCAAGTGGGACATAGCTGGGTTGGGCAGATATGCACACATAAGTTAAAGTACTTGTGCTGAGATAAAGATATTTATTTGTAGCCTAGAGCCAGAATGGGCCGCTGCAGCTACCGAGGTAAAAGAGCAGACGAAAGGAAAGGTGAAACTAGCGGCTGTGGACGCCACGGTCAATCAGATGCTAGCCAGCCGATACGGGGTATGTTCATACGGCTCTTGTCTTTGTGAAATACAGTTTTTCACTGTTACTTCATCCAGTACACCAGGCCTCCTGCGAGGTAGGAGGGGGGATGTTTAGTCGTTTTGTAATGAAAAAATTAAGTCACTTTATTGTTACAACTAATAAGTAGTAATTCTGGAAGTCAGGACTGTTGTTTAGGGGATTTTTCCCCAATATTTCACTATTTCTGTGTGCTTATTGTGAGCCCATAGCTTTCTCAGCTTTTACAAGTTGCTCATAGGGCTTTTGAGGTTGGTCCATTTGTTCTAGAGCAGATAAATATTAAGTGTATTTCCAGAGTTTGGATAAGGCTTGGCCACGCCTGCCAGTCAGATTGTTAAACCCCCTGACTGACAAACCTGTGTGTCATCTTTGGACATTGATGCATACTGGAGAATATATTTGCTGCATTAAATTACCTAGAAGGTGGTTTTAGAAACCATGAAGATTACCTTATTTCTTATTAAAGGTTTGTTGATTTTGAATAGATTCGGGGATTTCCTACAATCAAGATCTTTCAGAAAGGCGAGTCTCCTGTGGATTATGACGGGGGCCGGACAAGATCTGAAATTGTCTCCCGGGCCCTCGATTTGTTTTCTGATAACGCTCCACCTCCTGAGCTACTTGAGGTAAAGCTCTCCAGTCACGCACAGCAAGGCGCACTCTCCAGTCTGACTTTGGGTGGTAGGGCAGTTGGCCTCTAGCTCTTCAAATTAAGCTCTTCTCCATCTCCGTTAAAATGCTCTCTCAAGTGTCTCTGTACTTTCAAATGGACAAAACCTGTCTGATAAATTGCTGCTTTTCATAACTTTAGCACTAAGATAATTGCACTGAGAGGAAAAGTATACATAAGCCTCTCAAAAATAGACTGCATCTTTCATTTCTCATTCTCAGAAGAATACCTAACATTTACTGAGCACCTGGCCACGTAACAAGGACTGTTCTGCTTTTATGTAGATTTTCCTCACTTAATTCTCATATGAACACTTAGTGGTGAATACTGTTCTTAATCTTCATTTTACATATGAGGAAACTGAGGCACAGAGAGCCTCAAATTCATATAATATATGATGCACGTAAATATGTCTGTCTACCTGTTCGAACGATCAAGTGTCAGCCAGGCTGTGCCCGGCATTCTGGTTTCAGAGGCTGTGTGCAGGTCCCTCACCACTACCCCAGAAAGAGGGCTTGGGAATGATAGTGGGACATTCTACGAGAGCTGGTGGTGGTTTTGGTTCTAGAATGTGTGCAAGGAAGTGTCGTTGGGAGAAGTCCTCCCTCTCTTGCTTTGCTCTTTAATGGAAGTGATGGTGCTAAGTCTTTGTTTTCCATCCCTGTCTCCTGGGTCCCACAGATCATTAGTGAGGACATCGCCAAGAAGACGTGCGAGGAACATCAGCTCTGTGTCGTGGCCGTCCTGCCCCACATTCTTGACACTGGTACGGTGAACAGGAACTCACTTTCCTTTCATTGTTCTGTGCTGCCTGCTCTGAAAACACTTTCTAAATCAATTAATGTCACAGACTTTTTTATTTTTATCTTTAAAATTTTTGTGTGTTCAGGAGCTGCAGGCAGAAATTCTTATTTGGAAGTTCTTCTGAAGTTGGCAGACAAATACAAAAAGAAAATGTGGGGGTAAGTTATTGAACTTGGTATCTCTGTACCATTTGGGCAGGAGAGTATTGTACTGCTTGAGAGTGTCTGGCTCCTTGTTCTCTGTAGGATGTGTTCCTATGTTTGCATCATTTAGGAAGGAAAGAAGTAGTGCAGCTCTCTTATTTGCTCATAAGGCACGTATTTGTACCGCAGCATACTTTTTCTCATAGGGACTGATGTTTAAATGGTGTTGGGTTTCAGGCCAGCAAGCAAAAGCTTAATTAGTAAGCTAGTTGAATTCTAGTACGGCCTGGAGGCTCGATAAAGAAAAGAAGTAGAGGCATTTTTTTGTCCACCCTCCCTGAGTGACGGCCAGATCTAGGCAGATTTTGAAACAAAGTTTGCCTCTGTCCCCGTTTATCTTCTAGCTTCTCACCCTCGTCCTTCATTGCGGTCCTGGTGCCTTGTGCCCCTGCTGTCACTCTGCTCACTATAGCTTTGCACGTCTGTCCAACAGCCTTTATCGTGTGCCTGCAGAAGGCCACCTTCTGCAGTGTTTCTTTACACCTTTGGAGAAGTTAAGAAATTTGGTTACACGCGTCTGTGTGTGTTGAATAATGGTGACCTATCCATAGCTTTTAAAAAGGTAGTTGGTACACTTTTTAAAGACCATACGTGATAACCTAAATGATACTGGTAACAAAGACAGAAAATTCATGAGGCTTGGTCGACAGTATTCTAGACCGGGGGAAACTGTCTTATAGGTAGACCGATCCATTTTGGGGGACTTCTGGAATTAGGGTTTAGGGAACATGAGAGAGGAACTGTAGTTACTCAAGAGCACATCTAGAATACATTATTTTTAAAAACTTACTTTTTGTTTTTGTTTGCTTCTATACCTATTTCATCCATAAAATACTTGAAGTGTAATTTTGTTCTTTAAGATCTGCTAGTTATGTTCTAACGAATTTTAAAGGGGTGTTTGTCCTGAAACCACTCTGCCTTTCTAGGTGGCTGTGGACAGAAGCTGGAGCACAGTCCGAACTCGAGAATGCTTTGGGGATTGGAGGATTTGGGTACCCCGCCATGGCAGCCATTAACGCACGCAAGATGAAGTTTGCTCTTCTAAAAGGATCTTTCAGTGAGCAAGGCATTAACGAGTTTCTCAGGTAACTCTTTTGCTCTTTTAAATTGTTTTTGTTTTGTCTGTTTGGTTCTGCTGTGGTTTTTTTGTTTGAAATTAGGTTTATATAGACCAGGCAATAAATGGAATTATTTTGCATTTGACATTTTGGAGAATTAGATGTTTATAAATTTGAGCTTTTAAATCTTCCTGTGCTTTGTTCTGTTTTTCATGGAAATATTCTGCAGTAGCGAATGATGCTCAGCCTCTCCTGTTTTCAGGTCCCCTTGTCATTCTCTGCCGTTGGTATTGGGCTCTTCCTGATTCTTACGGTGGACTCACGGGGAGAAGCAGCCTGTCCTCCCCCATTCACACCTGAGCATGCTTTGTACCCTCAACCTCAGACGATATGGTTTCCATTTCTGGGCATTGGTTTTAGAGTGTGGTTATCTGAAAACGGGTGAACTTAACTTACTTAAGTGACTCCAACAGTGGTCAATAGCATGATAGTTTGAGAGCCAGAGGCCTGTTTAATCTTGAGCACAAGTTGTCAAACTCAGAAGCCAATTTGTAGGGCTTTCTGTGCTGCCCTGCTATTCAGCTCATCCTGAAACTGACTGGGTCATCTCTTAGGCACATACAGGCTTTGATGCTGTACTTTTTCTCAGATGTGTGGTCATTTGATTAATGCTTCTTCCCCATAACTGAGTTCCATGAGGGTGAATTTCTTTTACACAAAATTTTATCTCTACCTAGTACTCTAGGGCCTGGCTCAGAATAAGCTCTTGGTAAGTATTTTGTGAATGAATTGTTGAATTTTCATCTCTGGAACAGTTTCGATTAGGAAAGACTTCTCTGCCCTCGGGAACATTATTGTTTAACAGGACACAGCACGTTGATGGGGAGACTGTTTATAAAATGTACTTCATGCTTTTCAATAGCTAATTCCAGTGTCAGTCTTCAGGAGATGTGTGAGAGTGATAAGTGACAATGAGTTTGCACCTTTGAACTTACTGAAAATGGCAGATTTTGACCCCAGCTTTGATTCTATTCCCATTTATTTTCAGCCAGTTTTAGTACAAAGGAGGTAAATGCATCATAGAAAAGGTACAGGGAACAGTAGCATGTTGTGAACTTGAGACAATTGTGCTCGAGATTAAATAGGCCTCTGGCTTTCAGACTTCTTGTCTTGGAGGTGGCAGAACACCTCAGGGGCCTCCGGTCACCAGTGGAGAAGGTGCATGGTGATGACCAGGAGGGAAACAGAATACGTGGCAGTGTACTTGTTTCTAGCTATGAGTCTTATTTTCGGAGGGGAAATGCGTGCAGTGAGCGAGCAGGCTGCTTCCACCAGACTGCAGTGGGCCTGGCAGAGAGCTGGGCAGCACCCACCACAGAACTGCCACAGCCTGGCAATTGGAAAACCAAAGAAAAATACCATCATTGCTGCAGTTTGTCAAACATAGAAGCTTTAACAATTTATAAGTGTAGTAGCAGCAATTGAAAACTATGGTCAGCCTAAGACATTAGTGATTGCTGCATCTGTCCTTGAAAACGTCATATTGTGTTCCTCTTGGAGTAGCAGCCAGGAAGCCTAAGTGTGTAATTGTGCCTGTGCACCCACAGTGAAGAAAAGGCTTGCATTTAATACCGGTTTGTGGCCACGGTTCTCCAGGTGATTAAGAGAAAATGGTGGCACAGGGAAGAGCGTGAATTAGCTACTAAAAAACTTCTGTTTTTAAACAATTGAACTCTGCCCTGAAGGCACTGTTCCCTCTTGATTTTGTTCCTATTTAAAGGAGGTTTGGCATCTTTCCATTTGTCGTTTGCTCTCACTGCTGACATTACGTAGGAAGCTGCCTTTTTTTTTCCTCCTGAGTGCCATCCCCATCCACCAAATGTCCAGTAGCATATTCATCTCAGCCGTTTATCAATGAAGAGGCTGATGTTCAGAGGTGGTAAATAGCCTTAGTATGATGTAGAATGTCTGGCTTTCTTTTCATTGTTTGCATGGGTTCGTATTTCCACAGAAGCCAGAGCTCGCATTGGCCTGAGCCTTGCTAGTAAATTGAGCCATTCTAACATCGATTTTAGAGGCTCAGTGAGATGGGTCTGGCTAACTCTGCTGAACCCCCTTTAGTCTGCCCATCCATCCATCCATCCATCCATCCATCCATCCATCCATCCATCCAGTAGGTAGTCAACCTTCCGTCCTGTGTTACACTAATTAACAGTTCAGTGAGAGGTAGTGAAGTGGGTTTTTAGAGTGTATGTACAGTTTTCTGACTAACTGATACATGTACACCAGGGTTTCTCAACCTTGGTGCTCCTGACATTTTCGACCAGATAGTTCTTTCTTTGCCGTATGAATTGTAAGATGTTCAGCAGCATCCTTAGCCTCTCCCCTCTAGAGCCAGTAGACACCCCCCCCCACACACACACAAAGTTGTGACAATTAAAAATTGTCCAGACATTGCCAGATGTCCCCTGGGGGCAAAAATTGCTCCGTTTAAAAACCATTGATGTTCACTGTAAAAAATGCAGAGTAGGAATTACCAGAGAACTATTATTAAATGCCTACAGGAAACTTAATGATACCCTGTTTGGGTGTTTTCTCTTTTACCCATATTCCAAGCACCCTTCACCAGAGGGTACTTGGGGGCTCCTTTAAAGATGCCTGTTCTCGGGCCTGTGGCCCCGCCTCTTCCCAGTGAAGTGTTTTCTGTCAATACCTGCCAGAGGCAAGACCTAACAGGCTGTCCCACCATGTGACTCTGTCTGCCCTGAAGCTTGAGCTAGTGAGGGGAGCGCTCCTACTGTCCGTCTGCAGGCTTCTGTTCACGGCAGGGCCTCTGCTTGCTGTTTAGAATGCTGAGGAAGGGAATGGAATTTTACTTCTCCCGTGCCATCTTTCAAAGGCCTTTCTGGGGTCTTAAACTCTCAACTTTGACAGTTTTTACATAATTTGTATTTTAGCAAAATACATTAGCTTTTTAAGTTATTGGTAGACTGGCTTTACTTGATGCCCAGGTCTTAGGATTTCGTGCCCAGTGATATTGTTGCCCCGAATGAAAAGAGTGCTGTTCATGAAGATTTTTCAGGAGCCATCATGGGAAATGTCTGCATAAACATGGCAGGCACACCATCTTTTACAAGTAGTTTTTTCATGTGCACCAGCCGTCCCTGTAATGCCTGTGCTTGTTTTGCCGTTTTCTCCCCAGGGAGCTATCTTTTGGGCGAGGATCTACAGCACCTGTCGGAGGTGGAGTTTTCCCCTCCATCAGCACCAGAGAGCCTTGGGACGGCCAGGATGGTGAGGTGAGTCCCTGGACCTGACGGGCGGCTGTATGCGCAGGACGCAAGGCCAGGCTCGTCTTTCTCATCTTTACTTTCCCGATCCTGTGCATCTTTGCTACTTGTGAACCAAATTCTTCCCGTTGGACCTAAGCTTTGGCATGACCCAGAACTATCATAACCTTGGGCCTTCTGGGAGGTTCTTTCTCAAGACCTTTCATCCCACCCACCCTATTAATAAGGGCTCCACAGAATTTGCTGTTCTTAACAGAGACAACCAAGATATGTATCAGTAATTAGGCTGCTTTCCTGATATTAGCCCAAGTGATCATTCAACCTTGAATTCATGTATTAGCCTCACAGAAATGTAAAATAATGTCTTTGAAATGAGCATTTATTTTGGTACACTTCTGCCCTGTCCTCCTTGAAAGGACAAGTTAAAGAGCTGTCCGTAAAATCCTGTTGCATTTAAGTCTGCAACCCTTCAAGCATCTCTGTGTTAGACCTGGATCAGGCAAAGCTGGTTTTGTGGTCAGATACCTGGATAGACTGTGCGCTTTCGGGGTCACCCTGTCTGCTGCTGCAGTCGGCCTGCGGGACTAACGATGCTGTCCTGTTTTACAGCTTCCTGTGGAAGATGACATTGACCTCAGCGACGTGGAGCTGGATGACTTGGAGAGAGATGAGCTGTGAGAGGCTCAGCACAGACTTCAGTTTTCTTTTCTTGGGAGCAGACTTTTCCAGCAGTGAAGGAGCATTCTTTACTCAGATGAGTCTACCAGTGGCCTTTTTCACCAAGAAGTAGCACGTGATTGGTCATCTGAAAACACTGCAACAGGGAACTTTTGCATCTCAAGAAAACAATGAAAAATTCTATGAATTGTAGCCAGTGGATTGGGTGGTATCTGTCAAGTAACATTTTGAAGAAAACTGCTGGGCTGCTGAAATACTTTTTTTCCCCTCCCTCTGACTGCTGCTTGGGTGTCCTTGGAGGCTGTTTCTTATATAAGTTTTTTAATGTGATCCTTTCATTTGAATATAAATGGCTTTTTCCATTAAAGAATAAAACAATATTTTGGACAATGCCAACAAATGTATGATATTAGTGTCCACATCATAAATTGAGAGTCTGATGTTTAGCCAGAAAATATGATGATGAAGGTCTGGCCCTGATGTCTTTCCTTTCTAAGAACCTGTGATGGAAATGACACCATGTGGATGCCTGCCACAGCACAGATGTACGCATGTCCTGCGAGGCCAAGGTCCACCTGTGGATGTGGAACGGGAAGCAAGTTTGTGTAGAAGGGGGAAAAGCCGGTCGGTTGAGAACTGCTGCTTATGCCCAGCACATCTGGGCCATCACCGGGGAGCATAGCTGGTTTTACAGCTAGCTTACGGTTTTCAGTGCTCCTCTAAGTCCTCAAATGTCCATTAAGCAAGAAATACAGCCGCAGGTCACCCACTGATAGGCCGTCCCCGTTTATGTAAAACATTCGGGAGATTGGAAGTTCTGAATTACATTAGCATATAAGTGAAGAGCCAACTGAAAGGACCGAGCATTTCTTTATTGTAACTTACAAAAAATAAATACAACTGTGACTAACTTTCGTTAGCAATTTCTCTACAAATCTATAATTCTGTAGGAGACGTGAATTGTCTGGCTGAGGCAAAGAGCATTTGTGGTCGTCCCGTCCTCATGAACAAGGCCTAGTGGTGCCTGCTCGGCCTCTTAGTCCAGAAGACTCAGGTCGATGCGGAAGCAGACGTAAGGGAAATAGTCCTGGTTACTGAGCTGCAATCCGGGGATATCCACAGATGCCTGCAAAAGATAAACATCGTGTTCCAAGTGCATAACTACTTTGCAGTTTTATCTTTTTATATAATTTTTTTTTTTACTTTTTTTTTTTGAGGAAGCTCTCTAGACACCGTACATTCTCCCCGTCACAGTGTCCCCACCACACACGTGCACACACTCAGCCTCTATACCTCCATATTTGTGAAATGCAGATTTTCACAATAGCCTGGCAAGCACCATTTTGGGAGTGTATGTAGCTGTGGAGAGGCACTATTTCTGGGTCAGGTACCTACGTCCAGTATACTTGCAGCTGCTACTTCATCCAGGTGTCTGAAGACGGAGTTCAGAACCTCTCTCAGACGCTTGGTGGACGACTTCTTGTGAGGCTGGAGGAGCACAGCCTGGAAGTTCACCGGGAGTCCGTACCTGCTCAGGTGAGAAAATGTCCGTAAGCTCCTCCGAGCGCAAGTGGGTAGTGTGCTGGACACGACAGAGCAGGTTCTAAGGAGAAGCTGCAGCCAGCACAGCTTGAGAAAATAACTCAGACAAAATGTCTGGGGTTGGGAGGAACGAATTAACCAGATCTTTCCGGATAGGAAAACTTCCAGAACATGCTAACCGGCTTCTGACAGCGATAGTTCCTGAGTGTGGAGCAGAGGTCCCCTAGCTGTATGTGGTCATTAGATGGTGAGTGCTCAGGGTGAATGGAGGCAGGTGGACTCACCTGACCCAAAGCACTGGTCTCAAACCCAGCAGGTTTACCAAGCTTGTTCGCGCCTTTTGCTGAGTCTTTGGGTGGACAAGAGGTTTTATGTGGACTTTGCATGCCCAAGTACATTTAAAATCACTTGCCTGGCAGCTACATCTGTGGTGTTACTCAAAGACAACTGAGGACTGTATGAATAATAAACATGCACTTTCTGATTGTCAACTTTTTTTAACTACACTATCAGCAGAAATCTGTGAAGATTAGTTTTTATTTCCCAGTGTCCCCTGGCTCCCAAACTTCCCCAGTCCTCATGACGGCCAATGGTGCAAAGTGTTCCCTGAAATACTGAGATTTGTTGGAGCTGCAGAAAGGCGAAGGGAACGTGAACGTGGAAGTGGGCTGCTGGTTGCTGCTTCCAGTGGAACCAGGCGTCGGGCCTGCCTCACCTTGCACCCCCACACTGAACACGAGCCACCCTGGCCGCTGCAGGGTCCAGCCTCTCTCTACTGTCCCCTGCCCTTTAACATCCCATCTCGCCCTGTTCTAAATAAAAACTTCAAATCCCTAGAACTCTTGTTCCAGACTTCAGTATGCAATGTGCTGTCACCGGCGACCTATGTCACTCAATCATCCTGGGCCTTACACTAACTTCTCGCTCCAGGGACACAGAGAACCTTAACCTCCCGCTCCCTTGGGCTCCCAGCACTCCCTCCTCCTGTCTCTGCCTTTTCCTGCTCCTTCAATGCTGGGGTCCCTGAGGTGTGACCTCCCCACTGTGAACTCGGGAGGTGAACTCATCAATCATCACTGATGATTCCCTAACATTTGCTCCCCACTGAGACCTCGCCCAGGACCCAGGCCAATGCTCTAGCTCCCTGGCCCCCTTCAGCAGCCCTCCCACAGCCCTGCCTCTTGAGGCCACTTCCTTTCACCTTGGCCGATGGAGGCTGGAGGGGCCTGCAGAGGGAAGGGGAGCCCAGGTGGCCCCTCCCAGCCACCCCGCCACAGGCTCCTCCAACCTACCTGAGCACGGACTCCACGAACACTCTCAGTGCCTTGATGTGGACCCAGGCAATAAAGGCTTCGCTGAAGTTCACCTTGAGCCAGCGCAGCAGGGGGCCCTGCAGAGACAGGAGAGCCGTGACCCCTCCTGGCGGCTCCACCCGAAGCCAAGCCAAGGAAGGATGCGGGTTTGAGAGAGCAAGCCCTGAGCAGAGGAGGAACGCCCAGGGGCCAGCAGAAGCAGCAAGTCGGTCCCACAGGGCCTGGGCAAGGCCCAGGACCATGCTCTCCAGGGCACCTGGTGCAGGGAAGTTCAGCGGGCCAGCCACCGGCACATACCTGAGGACACCTTGGGCTGGGCAGCCCCTGACCTCAGGGCTTTCAGCGGGCAGCTGACACTGCTGTCAAAGGGCCCACCTTCTTGAAAGGCTCTGGCCAGGTCCCTGCATCACCCACCAGCCATGAGTTCAGGGGGCTCCTCACAGCCTCACCTCACATGACCGCAAACCCTCAGGGGTGGCAGCTGTGACTAATGCTGGTGTGGCCGGTCATCTGGGGGAGTTCGAAGGCTTGCAGCAAAGGCTCTGAGCTCCCACCTGATACCTCCAACTGCCCACCAAGGTCAGGGGTGGGTCCAGCCAGGGCAGGTCAGTGGAGCTGCCCAACCACGCCCTCCTCAGCCAAGACCTGCCCATCACCAGCTCCAGCCACCTCCAGGCAGAGCAGAGGCACCAAGGCCCATAAGCACCGTCCATGTTGGGGGGCGGGGGCATCCCCAAACAGGCTCTACAGATTAAGAGGAAGGCACCATCCTGGGCTCCTTGAAGACGTCAGAAGCCGTAGTAGATAACAGAAATGCAAGGATTTGTTTTTTCAGAAGACACCTGCGCTGGCGAGGACATGCGAGCCAGGGAACCCCAGGGCTGCCGGGGGGTTGCTTACCTCACCCTCGCCCTCACTCTCTCTCTCTCTGTCGGTGTGCCCCGCAGCAGGCCTATCGGGGTTACCTAGCGGGGTTACCTTAACCTTGTGGTCCAGGAAGGTGGATGATCCCTTTTTAAGAGCAACACAGGAAGTTTGCTAAAGGCACAGAAATGATTTATCAATCTTTCAGGAAACATGCATCAGAAACACAGAAATAATTCTCATCTCCTGCAAGGGAAGGGAAGGCAAGCTCCTGAATGCCGCCCACCCTTGGGACTTGTGCCCTCTGGGACCGGAGATGTGGCCGGTGCACCGGGGTGTGGAAGTTTCTGGTTCCATCTTCCATGGAAAGAGCCAATCGCTGGCAGGGGGGTGTCTGCATCCCCTCCCTCTGCCTGGCCTCAGGACCTTCCCCCTCCAGCGAGGCAAGGACACAGCTCTGCCTGCAGAGCCGGCTGGCTGGGCTTGGGCGAGGCGTCTCCACCGCGTCCAGCCCACGGCAGCCGCCCTGGTGACCAGGGTGCACTTGGGCACGCCGCTGCAGGAAACCCGTCAGGCATGCTGTCAGGACATGTCCCCCCCCTTATGGTCTTTCTCTCGAGCAGGTGGAAAGCTCGGGAAACTCCCACCCTNAGGAGGAACGCCCAGGGGCCAGCAGAAGCAGCAAGTCGGTCCCACAGGGCCTGGGCAAGGCCCAGGACCATGCTCTCCAGGGCACCTGGTGCAGGGAAGTTCAGCGGGCCAGCCACCGGCACATACCTGAGGACACCTTGGGCTGGGCAGCCCCTGACCTCAGGGCTTTCAGCGGGCAGCTGACACTGCTGTCAAAGGGCCCACCTTCTTGAAAGGCTCTGGCCAGGTCCCTGCATCACCCACCAGCCATGAGTTCAGGGGGCTCCTCACAGCCTCACCTCACATGACCGCAAACCCTCAGGGGTGGCAGCTGTGACTAATGCTGGTGTGGCCGGTCATCTGGGGGAGTTCGAAGGCTTGCAGCAAAGGCTCTGAGCTCCCACCTGATACCTCCAACTGCCCACCAAGGTCAGGGGTGGGTCCAGCCAGGGCAGGTCAGTGGAGCTGCCCAACCACGCCCTCCTCAGCCAAGACCTGCCCATCACCAGCTCCAGCCACCTCCAGGCAGAGCAGAGGCACCAAGGCCCATAAGCACCGTCCATGTTGGGGGGCGGGGGCATCCCCAAACAGGCTCTACAGATTAAGAGGAAGGCACCATCCTGGGCTCCTTGAAGACGTCAGAAGCCGTAGTAGATAACAGAAATGCAAGGATTTGTTTTTTCAGAAGACACCTGCGCTGGCGAGGACATGCGAGCCAGGGAACCCCAGGGCTGCCGGGGGGTTGCTTACCTCACCCTCGCCCTCACTCTCTCTCTCTCTGTCGGTGTGCCCCGCAGCAGGCCTATCGGGGTTACCTAGCGGGGTTACCTTAACCTTGTGGTCCAGGAAGGTGGATGATCCCTTTTTAAGAGCAACACAGGAAGTTTGCTAAAGGCACAGAAATGATTTATCAATCTTTCAGGAAACATGCATCAGAAACACAGAAATAATTCTCATCTCCTGCAAGGGAAGGGAAGGCAAGCTCCTGAATGCCGCCCACCCTTGGGACTTGTGCCCTCTGGGACCGGAGATGTGGCCGGTGCACCGGGGTGTGGAAGTTTCTGGTTCCATCTTCCATGGAAAGAGCCAATCGCTGGCAGAGGGGTGTCTGCATCCCCTCCCTCTGCCTGGCCTCAGGACCTTCCCCCTCCAGCGAGGCAAGGACACAGCTCTGCCTGCGGAGCCGGCTGGCTGGGCTCGGGCGAGGCGTCTCCACCGCGTCCAGCCCACGGCAGCCGCCCTGGTGACCAGGGTGCACTTGGGCACGCCGCTGCAGGAAACCCGTCAGGCATGCTGTCAGGACATGTCCCCCCCCTTATGGTCTTTCTCTCGAGCAGGTGGAAAGCTCGGGAAACTCCCACCCTCTGATCTCAGGGAACTGAGGACACCTGCGACCAGAAAGACGCAGGATACTAGTCATCCCCACCTCCAAACAGGCTAAGGTCAGTCTCCAGAGGGTGGGGTGGGGCTGACCCCAGCCTTCCCGCTCACTGGCACCCAGCGGGAGCCTCGAATGGGACTAAGTGTTTCCGAGTTAGTGTCACCCCTTCCGAACCGCATTTCCCCCAAGAGAGAGCCCAGCAGGGCTCCCAGGGGCAGCGTGGGGGTGCAGATGTCGGCACCGTGTAAAAAAGCACTGGCTGGCAACCTGACACCCAGGCGGCAGGTGTCGGGCTCAGGTGTCACCTTGGTCCTCAGGGGTTCTGTGCCAGTGCACGGGTGGGTGCCAGGGGACCTGACCACCTGTCCTCCGGGCAGAGGCTGCCGCCCGGACACTTGTGGAAGCTGCCATTATATGGCTCCTGTCCAGACACACGGCGGGGAGCCGGGGTCACTAAGGAGACCTTGGGAGCAGTCCCAGGTGCTGGGTCTGAGGTCCAGAGGGAACCTTTTGGATTTCAGCTCTGCAGTGAGCACCTTTCCTGCCTGGGTGGGTGGGTCTGAGGCCTTGGGGCCCTTTGTCTCAGAGGATCTGAGAAGTGTGCCTGCCTTCGACACACACGTCTGTACACACGTGTGCATGTGTCTATGCATGGGGGCCTCTTTTATATGATCAGTTCCTGTTACCTCCCACAGGGGATGGGCCAGCCCAGTGGGGCTCTGAGAACCCAGTTTCGGGGGCCCCATGGCTGGCGGTCACTCCTGAGGGGTGGCTTGTCTGAAGTCCCTCTGAAAAGGCCATTGACCCAGGGAGGTGAGGCCGGATGTGCAGAGTCCCCGGCCCAGCGTCGGGAAGGCTCCGGGCACTCAGCCGCGGGAGAGGCACTTCTAGCTTTTCACTCAAGCACGTACTTACAGCTCCGTGTTTATACACGGACTTCCTCGGAGAGCCCGTATACTCTGCTCACTCTTCCTCCCTAGAGCGTCAGCCCATGGACTGAAGGGTCCTGGGTTCGATTCCAGCCCCTGGGTTCAATTCCAGCCCCTGGGTTTGATTCCAGAACCCTCCCTGCTGGGACTGGGGAGGGGACCCGAAAGCACTCCACCCAGACGGAGGCCACATGGCTTAGCCCCGCTCTGCAGCCGGAGGGCTTGGCGTCCGGAATATGCCCACTTTACAGAGTGGTGGAGTGACTCCCATTTTAAAAACCAAAGTCCGGTCTTCTCCCTCTCGAGCTCAGCTGCCCTCACACATGGAGAGTTTCTGAGTGGCTGTTGTCGGAAGTCTCAAGTGCAAGCAGCCACTCTGCTAAGAGCACAGTGAAGGTAAACTCAGGTGCTGGGGATGGAGGTCACATCATACCTGGAAATCACACTGCCAAGGGCAGTGGTGTGACCGTTGGCCTTAGTCCCCGAGGCAGGGGCCCTGCCTGCCTTGCTCGGCGTCAGGGGCACTAGGCAGGGTCCTCTCCCAGGGCCAGGGCTCATTACCCCCTGAGCCTCGATTTCTCATCGACAACGGGGGCAGTGCCAGGGCTTGGTGAGACCTTGCTCGGAAGGCACCCAGCGCCACAGTTCACGGCTCAGGCGCCACCTCCACAATTACTGGTGCTTGTCACCTCCCCGAGACCCTGCTCCGACTGCCCCAGGAGAGCACATGTTCCTGCGCGGCGTGTGCCCAGGGGTGGGGACCTGGCAGGGCCCTTCTGTCCCCACCCTGCCTGAAAGTCCGGGCCCCCGTCCTGTACTCACATATTGTTGCTTCTTATCGGACAGCAATCTGGTCATCTCTTCCCGTTCCCTCTTAATCTCTGTCTCATCATAGTAAAATTCACGGACAGTGAACCTTCAAACAAGCAAACGAGAGGCTTTCGCTAAGGAGCTCAGTCGGGGCGGAGACCCCCGAGAAGCCCACCGGGCACTTACTTGTTTTCTCTGGCTTTGGTTTTGAAGTCATCAATCACTTTTCGAAACAGGGTCACAGTGAAGAGGCCACCTTCCTTGTCCTCGGTGATCAGTCTGTTGGAGAGAAGCACCTGCTTGCTGGAGCCGGGCTGCGAGGGGCCTGTCCTCTCCCTCGGGAGGCAGGTCACTGGGGAGGTGGCTTCTGTCCCCACCCACCCGGTGGCCTACACATAGGGGCCCCGACAGCATCGAGGACGGGGAACCCAGGGCACACCTATTACTTCCTAACTCCTGGCTCTGTGGTCCTGGCGGCCCGCTACTCCCCTTCCTCTCCCTCCCCTTTCACTCGCCCTCCAAGCTGAAGCCTCAGGGGCCTTCAGGCCATTTAAGCACAGGCCCGGGAGGGAGGAAAGGACAGGAGTCTAGTTTCGCAGTGACCTGGGGTTTGGCTCCTGCTCATAAAATGCCTGAGAGATCAAGCCTGGGCCTTAGTCACCTGTGTGCACAGGTGCCCCGGCCCTGACGCTGCAGCTACACTGAGGCAGGGTGGGGTTTCAGGTGGCGGAAACCATCTCACAATGGCAATCTCATGTCCAGCGTCGCAGTGTTCTAATTAGACACAGCCTCCCGGCCCCCCTCCACGTAAAACCACTGGGGCCGCTGTCCCCAAGGACATGGAGGTCGTTGGGGCCAGCAATCTAGCATCTTGGAGCCCTGCTGGCCAGATGACTCAATAAGAAGCGTCCTTGGACCCAGGCAGAGTTTTGCAAGCATCCTGGCAATTATGAACAAGTTTTTCTCAAAAAGTATGGCTGTTATTCTGAAAATATTTTAAGATGAAGGAATCATATTGCACAAAACAATTATAAACCCTACTGAGTAGATGTATATACTTTAATCTAGTTTCTCACAAAATCTACATTTTCATGCAATATACTTCACTGGATGCAGAATGACAGAACTTGCCCTGGCCGGTTTGGCTCAGTGGTTAGAGCGTCGGCCC